ACTGTGTGTGGGTTTATGAGAGAAATCCTTGTTCTTGACTACACCCCACGTGATTGTGAAGGAGAAACAAATAATAGAGTAACTGTAACCCTACTTTTGGCCCACCCTGTATATTAAATACAAACTACCGTTAATAGTGACTGCATTGTAGATTTATTCCTAATGGTAAAACTGAAAAGGCTACCATCAGTTCAGAAATATCCTGTCAGCGCCTGTTGATGGACAAATATTTAAGTCCCGTTTTCAAACAATACTGCGTAAGTGAGCAAGAGTTACTAAAACTCATTCTACCCGAGTTTATGACGGTGTTTGGTATTTTCAACCTGAAAACACCTTATGCGACACAAGAGATATGCAGCTAAGTCACATACTCGTAATTCAGAACTGATGATCACATGGAGTGCAACCAGTCAAACGTAACCACATTTCGATTGGCTATCATTAACTGGTTGTCAGTTATAAAAAAACCTGCAGTTGTGAGGAGCATATTCAGTGGCATATCACGGTTCGAACCTTAGATCTTCCGATTCGTAGCCAAGCATGTTAGCCCTAGGCCAAGTCCGGACCTTGTTTGATAGAGCCTCGTACTAAAATAATAATTTCTATTACTCGAATATTCTATATTTATTATGTTCGTTAAATGTATTCAATGTACACTGGACCAAAGAAACTTTATTCCAGTTATAAACGGTATAAATTTGATAGAATATAACTGGAAATTTCCAACTAAATGCCCCAGGGGTGAGAATAGTTATTTATAAAATTTTATCCAGTACCTGCGAAGTGTTTTATTGAAGTGTTAGGCTATCTTTAAATTTTTAACATAACGAGTTTCAATAGCTCCGTCTAGTGACATTTATAAAGTTAAATATTATGCAGTAACAAATTTTAACTTTATCTCGTTTACTGTTAAAAATGTATTTATTAAATCTGAAAATATATTAACTCAACTTTCTGTAACGTATTTATTATATATTCATTTTAATATCGACGTTGTTTAAATTAAGTTTATATTTAAAAACATGCATATCTTGAAGTGTTAGATATGTATTGCAAAACTCCCGCCAATTCTCCAAAGTTGTAGAAAATTCTCGAGAGTAAGAATCAACAATATATGTATATACGTAAACTTGTATTGTTACGTAAGACTGAATTTTCTAGAAAACGTTCCCACGCCTATAAATATAACTAACGCGACGAGCCAAAAGAGTATCTATTAGTAGTTCGGTATAATCGGTGTGCTATAAACTTCGAAAGCTATAACTGATTTTTATAACGCTTATCAATCGGAAACTTAAGATATTTGACCAGGAATATTTATAAATTTCGAACATTACAAATCGTCTAACTTCAGTGGATTCTCATGGGACATTAATATTTTTACGAAAACATTACCCAACTTCAACCGTAGAAAACCTAGTGTGTGTGGCCAAGGATAAAGCTAGCTAGCTTCCCAGCGGATCGTATCTACATCAACTCGTAATTAACTCGCTCATCGTAAACCCTCCATAAGATATCAAGGGAGTACCAAACTAGAAATAAAATTTAATATTGGTAAACAAAAGTTTGTGAACTTTTGTTTATAAAGCTTTGTCTGTAATAACTATTTGTAATAATTGATATTGTAAATTGTATTGTTGTGTGTATACTAAAACGTATTTGTGTTAAAAATGAAGACTGTGTGTATCAATCTTGTTGGCTAATATTGTAAATTGACTAATATATCGTCATATATTTAAATAATAAATCCAAAGTACAATTTAATTACTAAATTTAAATTATCAGTTAACTCGGCTTCGGACTATTTGAAATTATGATACGTAACATTTCTCACAGTTTATATTTTTCGTTATCGCTACCTGGTGACAGTTATCCAGTTAGAATTCACGTGTTCGACAAGAGGAGTTAAACATACATATGTGAACCATTTATGAATAATTTTAATGGCGAAAATAGTTTTCGAACCCAAAATCGGTACCAGTCTTATGATGAGTTGATTTTTGAATTTTCAGATTCAAAATGTTGCTTGATATATAAATAAAACAACTTTTAATATACACAGCGTGGTCACAAGTAAATAGACACCACCTTCTCATAAAAATGAAATTTTCAGTCATATTCACGTGAATTGATATATTTATAATTTAATTAATATCTAGTAGATCTCCTTCCGTTCGTG